TACAATTCAAAAATCAGGTGATAAATATGATTATTAATTAATATTATAAAACTAAAAATTAATTTATATACACCCCACCCCATTCCACCCACACACCCAATTTTGAAATCCCTAAATTTACTTCTCTCCCTCTCTATTATTCTCCCACCCGTTCACTTCTCTCTCTCATTCTCTGGTGCCTATGGTGGCGTAAAAGGGCGGCAGCTGCTTCAAGCACCGGTGGTAGGTGGCAGAACTTTCCTTCCCACAGGGCCGCCTAGGCAGCGTGGTGGAAGAACGGGATATGCCAATACCGCCTTCGTCCTCCTCGGCCTTCCGCATCCCACTTTGACAGCGGAAGCTGGACTATACTGCAATTAATAACTTGCTGATTGTTTCGTGCATGGGATTTTTTTATAGTGCTGCCTTGCTCACGACAAGGGTACCAGCGTCCTCTTCAAAGTCCTCTCAGCCTTTGCTTTCCGTAACATTAGTTTAACGAAGATAGAGTCCTCTCAGCCTTTGTGTATTTATGATTGCATTTCAATGGGACCTGAGAAGGCAATGTAATCTGTAGGGCATATTCTTCTCTATTTGAGATTTTGAACTTTGAGAACACTGTTGTCGTAATCGCCACCGTGGTGGTCGTGGTTTTTGAAAAGTAAACTTTATTTTTGATAGCCATTTTTTGCCTAATAGATTTGATTTTTGAATTGTTGGAGTTTGTTGGTGATTTTTTTATCCAATTTGATGTGGTGTATAGATTGTTTGTGGTGACCATTTGTGGCCAAATATGTGTTTATTGTGACTTGTTGTGACTGTTTGCGATCGATTGTGACTGGTTAATTGTGACCGATTGTGACTTGAAATTCTGAAAATTTTTTGGAAGTTAGAAATGGGTGGATGGTGTGGGTAGGTTGATCGGAGCATGTGTTGGAGTGGCCATTGAAGCAGTTTGCCGGAGAGGCTGCCGGAGTGACTGCTGGAACAATCGTCAGAGTGGATGCCAAGTGGTCACCAGAACATTTGCCAGAGTGATCGCCGGAATAGTCGTTTGAGCAGTCGCCGGAGTTGATGGCCTCCTCCGATGAAGAGAAAATGGTAGAGAGAAAAAGAGAAAGAGAATGATTTGGATTTGAAATTTAATAAATTAGGATAATTGTATGATATTATAATTAAAAATATTAAATATTTTTGGATTAAATTTAATAAATTGGGATAAATTGATATTATAATTTATTATATTTTTGGATTTGAAATTCAATAAATTGATTTAATAAAAGATTTTTGAAATTTGTTATTTTTGAAATGTAATTCTTATATGTCGAATTTATGTATTGTTCCCTTAAATTAATTTGCCCAACCCGGTCAAGGGTCCGGGCCGGGCCGAGTTTTATAACTATGCTTTTTACTTGCTTCGCATGAATTCACCTAGGTTTCTAAGGTTTAAAACTTAACATTGTCATACATTTAAAAATACGGTTATGATTATGAGTTTATTTATCATTATGGAGGCTAAAGATTCTCATTCCCCTATAGACAAAAATTGCATGGTAGAGATTCATGAGGATAAGAAGAAGGTGAAAAGAGACGAGTTTAAAAACTATCTTTATCGTTAGGCAAAGAAGAGTATATTATTGTTCTGTTTGGTTTAGATGAAAGTTATAATTTTGGTATATTTTGATAAAATTGATAGAACCGTGGTAAAAAAAAAAAAAAAGAAATTCCATGAAATATATGGTGAAAATTAAATGTTGACTTTGATTTATTTTAATTTAATTTTCTTAGCAAAAAATAAGACCAGAGTTTTATTATAAAATTCAAGTAACGAGAGTTAAAAGTCAATGTTACGTGGTCAAAAGACTCAAAAGACAATCGCATATTTTCACACCGCTGTATTTTTTAATTTTTTGGGTGTTAACCTCAAGGAAGGTCCTAAAATTTTACTCATTTTTTGCACTCGTGTCTTCAATTTTTATAATGATTTTTTATTTTATAACTTCTATTAATTAGAAATCTTATCTCCTATGAAGGCCAAAAAATATATTAGAAAAAATAGCAAATATAAAAAGTTAGAAAAAATATTTTTCTCACGCTAACATAATATATAGACAAATTCTAAAAAATCTTAAAAAAAAATCTATAAATATAAAAAATAAAATTTGGTCAAACTCTTAATGATTATTTAAGTAAACATTCTAAAAAAATTTTTAATTTTATTTTATATATTTTGTCAACTTAATTTATTATTTATTTTAGTTTTTAACGAAAAAATATTGTAAGATTCACCAACTTAAAAAAAATATATATTATTTGATAATTTATTAACACAATATAATTTCCGAGTAACCAAATTTCATGGAAAAAATATTATAAAACAATTTCTCAATATTTCAAACCAAAATTATTTTCTCAAAACAAAAATTGAAAATAAACTCAAAACTTAGCACTTGTTTGACTTCTAATTATTTTTTCTCATCCTCATTTTAACCGTACATTCTCTCAATAAATATTTTTCATGTAAATTCAAAATTTTTCCTTACCTTTTAGTCACACATTCTTCCAAAGTTTACTTTTCAAAAATTCATTCTTCCAAAAAGTTTTATCAAACAAGAACTCAAATTTAAAAATTAAAACACAAATCAAACAAACTTATTTTTCA